TTGCCATGTAAAACCATATTATGATTTCCTTTGGCAAGTAGATTTGGATTTTCACTGGTAGGAGGTATATGTCGGAAATGCCACTTGTATCGTCCAAAAGGCGGCATCTGGTTTTACTGGTTTCACCTCTTCACAATCCACCCGGATCCGATTCAACCACCTAGTCTAATTTGCAGGTGGGCGCATCCAGCACTGAAAGAGCTGCAATAACATCTCCCTCGTTATTGACGGGAATTTCCGCTTCTTTTCAAGCGTATTTCGCCGGTGTTTGATTGTTATGGTTGACGGTTCTGCGCGTAACATGTCCACACCCGTCTACTTCGTGCTGTGCATGCCCGAGACAGAGACTATGTACGAGGACAAAGCTCGTTTAAATAATTGTCGAGTTGCTCACGATAGACCTGTCCAAAGAGATTGTGCCCACGCAGTATTGAAGTTACCAAGGATTAATTGGTCTCAAGCGAGGGAGATTCGCTATTGGTCTATATTCACTTGGTGAAGCCAGTTTGCAATGGGGATGAGGGCATACTGGATCCCCAGGATTTGGCATAGGACAAGGCTAATACATGTGGTTTTCCTTCATTCTTAATAATTGTTCTTCGTCTTCGCTATTCCGTGCACGAGATTTGCTGTGGACCACTGACGACACGCTTCAGACGTACCCACCAAGATCGAAGCTTAAGCGCCTCGATTGCTTGTCCAGGACACCGTCAAGCAAAGGAAGACAGGCGATTTGATATTCAGGTATGACTACCGTCTCCCCCCGCACAGTACGCCTAGCCGTTATGACATAGATTCTTACAGACGATGATATTATTCGTTTTAAACGCCTAGGCGCTATGCAACGAAAATATTCCAAATGTTTCAACGATTCGTCAGGGTTACTTTGGTTTAGTGGTGTGGGTCCGACCCTCCTATGCTACTGACCGAGGGCTCAAGCATGAGGCCACTTAGATCTTCCAATTTCTTCATGTAGCTCACAAGTTCGTAAACGAAGTAATCTACAGCGATTGATACACCGAAGAGTAAGCAGTAAAACAAGCTCGACTTCTCGTTGTCAGGAAGGTACCAGGAAGGAGCTTCTACGCAGAGCTGTTCTTGATCGTCTGCTTCTTTGGTAGTATAGTTTCGACGCTTGCTTTTCACCATGGTAATTTGGTAATGAGCAACTGAAGCGAGGTACAACCAAAGTTGTGAACGAACTCTGACAGCCAACCATCGTATATTACAGCCTTAATTACACATGCTGCTGGGAGAACACTGAGTAGGCGTTCTATTTTGCTAAGTGTTGTACACGAATATTTGAGCATGAAAGTTAAAAATTCGTTATTCGAATATAACACCTAGGCGTACTGTGCGGGGGAAGACGGTAGTTAAAAAGTGCACCCCAGGGTATCATGGTCTGCAGGGCGTGTCGAACCACCGTATTCAGAGGGGACAACGAAAAATAGAAAAGAGATGCCTCCTCTTTGATGAATATAATTGCCGAGATTTTTACGCCCCCGTTCTGGACCTATCAGACAACTTTGGTTTCCCTGCGCTTGAATCTCTTCGTGTCGGTTTTTGTGTAGCCCGAAACAAAACCGTCCTCGTACCAATAGCATAGCAGTTGAGTTGTATTTGGCGAGAATCTCTAGACTCGTCGTGAGTATCGCTAGTTACTTCTTCTATTACTTCGAAGAGTTACATTCAGCAATCGGTGTCCTTAAGACTATAATATCAAAACCAAGGACCCCAAAATTATTATTAGACCTTTTTTAACACGCATTGCCAGCATCAACCAACTAGGACTTCTCGGGATTCATATCGGGGAGACGTTAGATGCAAATCGAAAATGGTACGCAAATGCGCATGAACTGGTACAGTGTCTTTACTAGCACCTGTTCAAAGGTGGAATGGCGTAGGCTTGGCGGACGACTATGATACTTCTTAGAGGACTTGTGATCTACTGAGAACTTTTCATTTGTTAGCTTTCCATCCATTCCAGCGAGCGGTTACGCCTGTTCAGCTCTTCCTAT